TTCACAGTAGAGAAACAATGCAATATTTAAGATTTTTAAAATGAAATTGTATTTATAGTCACTTAATATCTGTATGAATTTGTATTTACAGAAAGATTTCTGAAAAATTATTTACCAGTGTTGTGGGGTTTCCGTAATTCTGACATTTCTTACATACTTACATATTCTTTTCATACAACTGTAAAATTCTGATTTAAAATTTACTGCATACAGTAAACTTTATGATTGTATAGCTCTTTGTGTGCTACCGCAGAGTCATGTAATTATCATCATCACAGTCAAGATTCAGAACGAGTCTGTCATCTGAATAAAACTCCTTTGTCCTTCCCCATTGTAGATACTTCTTTGATACTAATTTAAAAATAAAACTGAATTGGGTACCCATGAGGCTAGGATGGGCTCGGCACTTTGGGTTTGCTCCTAAGCAAGCCAAAACTCAGTGCAATGTGAAGAGTAAAGTGAAACTTGAGTTTAACCAGTCAGAAGCCTCTAACGAACTATGAAATTGTGTGTGTGTGTGTGTGTGTGTGTGTGTGTACCCAGAAGCACTAAGTACATTTCCAACTCTGTCTATCTGTCTGTCCATCTCTATATCTATCTAAATTTTGAGGCAGGCTCCATGCTGGCCTCCAACTTGTGATCTTCTTGCTTCAGGGATCCAAATAGCTAGAACTAGTTTTGTGCCACTTAACCAGGCAGGGACTTTAACCAATCAAGAATTTTCTGTCTTGGTTTCCTTCTTTCCCATGAACCAGTTGTGATCTTGTGATGCCTGATTCATGAATCACTGAATGTGCAAAAAACATTTTGTAATTTTAATATGCTTGTGTTTATTTGTACCCCTGAATTCTGGCAGTGATCTAGGAAACAGCCTTATGAAATGGACTCTTCTGATACAATAAAATATCATCACCAAAGAATCCACAGAGGAGGGGGCTGGGGGTTTAGCTCAGCGGCATAAGTGCTGCCTTGCAAGCAAGCAGTCGTGAGTTCAATCCCCGGTACCGATAAAAAGGAAAAAGATAAAAAAAAAAATGAAAACCATTAAGTCATATCCTATTACAAGAAAGCTGATTTATATTCTAGTACTATTTAGTTGGCTTTGTCTACTCTTAGTTATCCTAAAGGACACTAATTGATGTTCATGATCCCCTGCAACTAAGAACATTATTTGGCTCTTTTTAAAACAAGAAAATGCTTTAATTAGGAAGTAAGAAAAGCTGGGCATGGTGGTGCACACCCATAATCCCAGCACTTCAGAGGCTGTCAGAATTGTCTTGAGATCAAGACTCTAGTGAGCTACACAGTGAGACCCTATCTCAAATCCCCCCTCCCTCTAAAAGAAAAGAAAGATAAAATGGCAGGAGGCTTTAACTTGAAATGATGACAAAGATCAGCCAGGACCCTAACAAAGGAGTGTGAGGGAAACAGGAACAGACTTGAGCTTGAGCAGCCAGAGTGGGCCCATTCTGGTGAAGGGATCACACTGACCCATCGACAAAGGCAGGAGACCAGCTCTCAAGGTTTTTCTGGTGGGCTGGGGTCCAGTTGGTATGAGGCAGGAGTTCAGGCATGGCCAGCTGGCTGCATAGGAGGGTGTCCTTGAGCCCGGGACCAATCAGAAAATGCTATCTCCAGTTCTTCTGGCATTATATCAGCAGGGTTTTGATGGGACAATCTAGATCTGACATCAGCCTAAGAAATACGAGATAACAAGATGACTGCCACTAGCCTCCTGGTCACTGTGTTCTTTCTCCAGCAGCCTATTCTCAACTCTGCAGAGCTATTTCTTTTCACTTATTCTGGCCCACACTTATTCTGCAGACCACACTTCTTTTCTTGCCTTTAATGAATGTGAAACCTCACTGCCTTTTGCACCCATCTTGGCCAATTCTTTGTTGAGGACAGCAAGAAACCTCCAAGAGCCCATAGCATCCTAGAACCTCAGAGCTGATCCTTAACCTAGCTCTGATTTTATAGTTCTGGAATCCTCATGGGTTAAGGAGTGGTTCTGAACCCATGAAATGATTGTCTATTTATGGTGTTTGCAGTCATGTGGGGCTCTGCATTTCCTGTCCACAGTGCCCAGCATTCTGAGCACTCGGTCAGTTTGCAGGGTCCAGATGAATCCTAGACTGGAAGAGCCCCATATTGAACATCAAGAACTCACTGGTCAGTATAGGTCCTTGTTTTCAGTGATAATTGAGATTAAAGTGTGTATTTATAAGAAAAATCTTTAATTCTAGAAAGTAAGAGAAAATGGTAAGGGACTTTAGCTTGAAGAACTGCCAAAGCTTAGATTTGTTCTAATCCTTAAGAAAGGAAAGTAAGGGAAGTAGGAAAGGACTCCATCTCATACAGCTGGAGGGGCACGCTCTGATGAAGGGGTCAGACTAGCCACCTGTCTTGTCTGGCTTTTGATCACCCATGAACATTAGTGCAGGCCCTGCTTGTATCTGGAAGCCAAAAGCCAGCAACCTCCACTGAATTCTGTCCAGCAGAAGCCCCCTGGATGATAGACCTTCTGGCTGCATCTAAAGCAATGTACTTGGCTGCATTCTGCCTAGAGGTGCCTTTGGATTTCTTCTACTGGATGCATTTGAACTGAATTATAGAACTACATAATTATAGTCCAGCTTCTCCAGTCCTTTATCTGTCTATGAAAGAGTGGGAACTTGAAGGACTTTCTGAAGCCCAAGGAAAGTTAAGGCCCTCAGTAACTGAGAAAAGTAATGGAAACAGAGAAAAAAGCCAGGGTTCCAGAACAAAGGCAGCCAGAAAGCGTCCTACATCACTGTGAGACCTTAGATATGTGTTCCGTTTCTAGGACTCTGTGTTCTCATCGAAATAATGGAGTGGGCTTGAAATGAAGAAGACAGATTTCAGAGCATTGTCAAGCACTGCCACAGAATAAACACAGCAGAGAGAAACCTCATAGTGTAATGTGGAAAACATTTAAGACGTCCTTACAGCTGTACAGTGATGAGGATGCTTACTCTAGAGGGAAGCTGAGCTGGGCCTCTGTTTTTGGGTCTTGTAGTTTTTTTTACTCTCTTTTCATGATGATCATTGTTCCACTCTCGGAAAACTACTCTGCTGTCACTTGGTTATCCATGTGGTTTAGGTGGGGCTCTGTTCCCCACTGTGAGGGTGGCACAGTGGCCTACCCTGGCCCATTTGCCCTCTTATTTCTCCCTGGCCACGTGATGGGTTCCGGTGATCCACTTTCATCCAATCAGAGAGAATTCTGTGACTGTGTAGCAGGTCACTTTTTTCCGGCTCATGTTGGATGTTAGCTTTGATCCACATGTAGTCTGAGAACATAGACATCTCTGCAGATGACAGACTGAGGTACACAGAACTAAATCTGTCTCTTATTTTTCAATGACATGAGTCAATAAATGCCAGTATTCTGATTTGGTTTTCTTTGCTTAATTGTTTTAAGTTGGATTTTCTGTCACTTAAAATCCTTACTGATGTACAACCGTTTCAATATTTCATGTTTCACAGCCTTCATAACCTGGTTTGCTTCACTAAGTGTATACTACGAAGAAATTTTCAAGTGTAATTGGTTGCAAAGACTGTAGCTGTGATTCTGATGATTCACACAGAGGCAGACACACAAGTATTGTGAATGTTGAAAAGCCACTCACTCAGTTAAACCAGTTAAATATTCAGGCCTCCCACATGGATAGAAGTTACAGCAATTTAAGCACTGTAATGAAAAAAATGCAATTCTCATAAACATAAATTTTTATCAGTGGGTGTCCTGTAGGGAAGATGAATATTAAATAGAAAATCATTAGCTGGTCATGGTGCTGCATGCTTGTAATCCCAGTATACAGGAGGGTAAAGCAGGAAGACCATGAGTTTCAAGCTAGCCTAGACTGCATAGAAAGTTCAAGGCCAGCCTGAGGTATGAACTGAGAGCCTGTTTCAAAACATTCCCCAAATCTTAAAAAGTGTTTAATAATAATAAGGTATTGTACATTTTTAAAAGGTAGAAGCAAGAATTTTGAAAGTTTTCACCTAAAGAAAAGATAAATATGTTTACCCTGACTTGACCATTACACATAGGCATACATGTATTGAAATATCGCGTGGAACCCAGTAAGTCTGAAAATTTTTTATCTATAAGCAAAAGATAAATTTGAATAAAATAAAAATCTAAATTTAAAATAAACAAGATAATAAACACTCAAAGTATTTATTTCCTACTCAGCACCTAATAGAAATGGGTGCCAAATTTGATATATTATGTTAGATTTCTCAAAATGCTATTTTTAAACTTTCCTATATTGTTTTCCTAATATTGAGTAATCCTTATATTCTTCCAACCTTAGAAGAATACCAGCGTTTTAAATTTAAATCTTCCAGAATATTGGCATTCACAAGCATGATTGCCCTCTACTTTTTTTCATTTTTGTTAAGATTCAGGAACTCTTCACCAGAGTACCAATCTAAGAGGGTCTTTTTTCTCTGAGTTCTAGAAGAGTGTGAACAGCCTAGTGGTTATCTATTCTTTATACATGGGAAAAATGGTACCTACAAAACTGACTGAGCCAGCTATGTTGCAGATGGAGGTAGCGAGGACAACTTTATCTGCATTGTCTATTTCAGTGTGCATTTTTTTTCGAGTCAATGTTGACAGATTTATAACCCATTAACACTTTCAACATACAGTCTTTGGCACTGAACTTGCGATCCTCCTGCCTCAGCCTTCCAGAGTGCCGGAAATACAGGCAGAAGCAACCACGCTGGTTTTGGACCCAGCTTCTGGCCTCCTTTCCTGGACCCTCAAAGTGTAACCACCCCTATTAATCAACCCGAGGGCGATGGGCGAAGGGGAGCAGACCGCCAGGCCGGTACCCAGTGCCTTGCCTCCAGAGGCGGGGCGAGAGCACCACCGAGAAGGAGCGACGCGGCTCCTAGAGAGGTTCCGGCGCGCCCGGTGACGTACTTCCGGCGGCGCCGCGGAGCTGCCTGCTGAGGAGGTGAGTGTGTTGCGCTGGTGCCAAACCTCTGGCTCTTTTCAGGACGCTCTTCCATCCAGAGTAGAGCTGCTTCTGTCGCAGCCAGCTTTATGCCCGAGGCTGAGCCCGGGAGAGAGAGCAAGGCGGCAGCCTGCACTCATATCCTCTTCCGTTCCCGCTTTGGACCTGGTGGTCGAGTATGAACCGGCCCATGGAAGGCGAAGTCCATTATTGATGTAGCCATCTCGCCCCGAGCATCTAGCGCTTGATCTGTTCGGGAAAGACGTGTCGGTAACGACAGAGGATGGAATGTTTGCGGAGGCGAAGTGTTCCGGGGTGATCCCAAGTCTTTTGACATGTTGAGGTCGTATAGGGGTTCACATGCGTTTCAAGTTTGGACTGAGTACGCACCCCGTCCCCGGCCCCACTCCTGACATGGGATCCCGAATCGGACGAGAGGGAACGCGGCGAAAGCAGAGCCTTCCCTTCCATGATAGGAGCAGAATAAGCCTTTCAGAGGGCACCTTCTGCTGGAGCGATGCCAGGCCTCAAGGTAGTAGACCCTGCTTGTCTCAGACAGCGGTGTAACAGTGCCCTGGGAATGACTGTGAATAGAAGTTTCCCCCCAAAAGACCATGATTTAACCTTCCAGATTGATTTTATTGATTGGAATGCTACGACCTGATGGAGAGACTTTTTTGTAAACAAGCCTAAATTTTATTGAGTTATTTTTGGCCCTTTAATAGCCATTTGTTATTAGTCTCTGGATCTGGCTTAGCAATTTTTTTGTGTGACTATTGGGTAAGAGCTTAAAAGGTATGGTATTTGGCCTCTATTAAATCATAAGGGTGGTAATTGAGGCTGCTCCAGTCTTGTGGTAGATTTCCTTGCTTTTTTGTAGTTTGCCTACCTAATGACCTGGCTACTTTATTTTGGGACCGTAAAAGGCTTGTGTAATCTCTTCACAGTAGGAATCATGCCCTTCAGTAAACTGTCCTCCCAGGACCATGTCCTTTGGGATTACATATTAAACTAAGTTAATGTTCCCGAGGCATGGTTATTTTGTTATTCAGAATAAATCATTTTTCTTAGATTTTGTTTTGTTTTTTGAGACAGAGTCTCACTGAGTAGCCCAAGATGGATTTGAACTTACAGTCCTCCTTTTGCCTCAGCCTCCTGAGTCCAGGATTGTAAGCATGGGCCACTGTGCTCAGCTGTAGAATTGTCAGTTGCTTTTTTTTTTTTTTTTTTTTTTTTTTATCGGTACCAGGGATCAAAGACTGCCTGCTTGCAAGGCAGGCGCTTACAAGCTGCTGAGCTAAATCTCCAGTCCGTCAGTTGCTATTTTAATGTCAGCAGCTTCCACAATATAGTTCTGAATTTGCTCAGTTCTAGAATAAAATAAAATTATAATATTGCTAATTCATATTCTCATGAAAACAAATTTACTACCTAGAGCACAATATTTGGATACAAGTAATTTTATCTTTAATCTAACAGTATTTGGTTAAAATACTGTTTTCCAAAGTTACTTGGTTCAGGACAGTCTCAAAACTTCACTGTGGTTTTGTTATTCAGTTGTAGTAAGGCTCATTGGTTGGTTGTATTCCGTTTATTACATTTTAGGTCCTCTCCTGCACTCCATCCTAGTTGGGGTGTGTGTTTAAGAATATATAAAGCCAGCACAGCTGTAGTCTCAGTTACTTGGGTGTGTTGGAAGGGTGGGCAAGGAAGGAGAATCACAAATGCAAAGCCAGCCTGAGCACCTTAGCTAGACCTGTCTCCAAAACAAAACCCCAGACCTGGGGTGGGGGACAGATGTTGCTCACTGGCACAGCATTGCCTGCCAGTGGTAGGCCTCAGTTCAATCCCCAGGGCAGTGGTAGCTTGGTATTCCTTGTTAGTTGGTTATGGACGGCACAAGTACCAGAGAAATTATTTTGGCTGGAGGTGGTAGCAAGTCACAAGGCAGTTGACACAATTTCTAGACTGTACACCAAGTGTGAAACAAATGAAGAGACTGGGACAAAATTTTTGTCAAAATGTGTCAAGTCCAAATTTAAATAGAGTTGAAACATTCAAGTACCAAAGTATGACAGTACTGCAAAAAACGTGCGAGAGAAAGAGGGACAAAAAGAGCATCTGTGAACACCACCCAATTAAGAAAGAACATTTCCAGTACTGCTCCATGTGTCTATCTGTTCCTTATCATCCAACTCCTAGCCTCCTATCCCTAGATTTGGATTTATTGTTAATCATAGGCTCTTTAAAAAAATTTATAACATGCATATCTCTGTAAACAATTTGTTGTTTATTTGCAGGCTTGAACCTAAGACTTTACCATTAAGCTATATCCCCCACCCATTACTTATTTATTTTAAAGAGTTGTCAGGGCTGGGCTCACACAGTTTTTGTTTGCTTTTGAGCTTTGTAAAAATGGCACCATAGTGTGTATAGTTGTCTGGTACTTGCATAATATGTCCCTAAATTTACTAATGTGTAGTTATAGTCCTTATAAGAGCAATACAAAAACTGTTGGTATATTCTCAGTGAATGTGTGGGTTTTAGGTATAAGTTTCAAAATTAGGTATTAATGTTGATTTTTTTAAACACCTTTGAGACAGTATGTTTATCTTTCTCTGACTTGTTAATGTAGAGAAGAATTGGTAGAGTTAATTTATTTTATTCAAATAGAATTAGATATTCTCCCCCCACCGAGTAAGGTTTTTTTTAAAACTATAGAATATATTTTTAAAATGACACTACCCAAAAAAAGAAAAAAAACCCTTCCAATACCTCTCTTAGGAGCCTTCGAGTCTCAAGGATATCCCTCTGGAGGACTAAAGGGGAAAACATGGGGAGAAAAATTCTGCTCCCTTGATCAAGGCTAGGCCCAGAGACTTTACCTCCCATGCACTTCAGGGTCCAATGGGTGTCACATATAGGACTCCAGAGAAGTCCCGGTGGAGGAATGAGGTGTACATGGCATAGGTCCTTATGGAGGTATTGGAAGGTTGCAGCTTTGCAAACCTGGTTGGTGCCCCTGTGGAAGTGTGCAAGGCACATTCACAGCCAAAGGGGAAAAATGAGAGACACAACAGCATTCTTCACTTCCAGGTCTCCACAGTAAGCCTGGGCCATGCAGGAGGCTGACCTGCCAAACCTCCACAGAAGCATTGGGGTTCATGAAAACTCTCAGGACTGAAGGAGCAGGTAAGGTGTGCGGGATGCTGTGGGACTTCTAGCCCAGCCAGTCTCACTTCTCTCCAAGTGTAATCCAGGGTGGTGCTTGTTCACAGAAAATGAGTTCAAAGATTGTGTTCATGTTCTATGTCTTGAACTCAGTTGTTGCCACATAAGTCTTCATTGTTTTATGCTTGAGGCTCTACTAGTACTCTATACATTCTTTCGTGTGATTGTCGGTTATGAAATTCCGCAGTTCTTGGCAGTGAGCAGCAGTGACCTAGCCAAGGGGAGTTCTGGGCCCTGAGCTTGCCTCCTGGGCTCCATTCCTCCTGGGCAGCTCCAATCACACTCCTGACAGGATGAGGGCTGCCTGCACCTCAAATCTGCTGTGAAGGGCTGTATTGTCCCAACAGGGGTGGCTTGTCTCACGTTTTCTCTTGTTTCTCCCTAGCTCTGGCTCTTCTCTGAGAGGGACACTAGGTGATGGCACCCGTGCTCCTCACTGCCTGGCCCCAGGTGAGCTCTGGGATCTTCAAACTGAGGAAAACTAAGGGGAGTTGATGAGCCTTCGGATGAAAGCCTGGAACTTGGGGGAATGGTGCTGGGGAGAGGGTGTGGTAGAGGCTGAGACAGTGACCAGCAGAGGCTGCCAAGGAGAGCCCAGAAGGTGGCACATAGTCTGCCCTCCAGGGATCCTGCTCCCCTAGATAGCAGTGCTTTTGGCAGAGGGCTCAGGGTGAGTGGAGCTGTGGACGCTGCTCAGCAGGGATGCTGTCCGCTTAGATGAGAATCGCAGAGGTTAGGGAAACAGGAAGAGCAGAGCAGGTCAGTGAGAAGGAGAAGATAGTAGAAATTGGGATCAGGAGAGGAGAAAAGCAGGAAGTCCTGTGTCCTGTTGTGTCCTTATAAAACTTTTAGGGCTGGGGCACAGTAGCTCCGACTTCAGATCCCTGGTAAATTGTTGCTTCAGCAGCCCATATATAAATCTCTGGTAAAAGCTTTCAACCTTCTCCAAAACTGGCAAACCCAGTTTTCCATATAGTTTCAGGGACTTCCTGGACCCTCTGAGGCTTATCCATGACCCTCCATGGATTCCAGGTTGGGAATAATAGACCTGGTGACATGGCTTGAGGTGTGCTATGCTGCAGCCTTTATACCATGCCCACTGCACGGGCTGCTTAATCCTGACATCTACTTCCTGTGATAGGCGCTGTATTGTGTACTTATTCTGCCAAAAAGAAATAGAGGCAAAGGGGAACAGCGTGCCTAAGGTCTTGCAGTTATTGTGTGATAGTAACTGCTCATTATGTGATAGCTCTGAACCAGTGATCAGATTTGTGACAGTCCTGTAGGGGATAATTTTCAAGGGAGATTCAAAAGTGAGGGGACCATCAAGAAAGAATCTATTTACTGGTTCAGGTGATGTGGGCTTCATCAAGGAAAGTTGGTGGAGAGGAGGGATCTAACTGAAATAATGCTGGAGTAGCTTTAGGGAATGAGTAGAGGAGCAGGAGGGTAAGTAATGTGCCTTAGTTTTCTATGTGAGGTTTCCCGTGTAGGTGGTGTGGACACCAGCTGAGGAATGAATTCAGGAGGGGCCAACTTGCTAGAGACAGGGTAATGGTGTCATGCAGGGGAGGCCATAAATTGTGTACAGGAAAGTTACATGACTTGTCTGAGGTTACACAAAGAGGACTCATAGGCACGTAGAGGTTGGACTAAAATTACTGATTATCAAGAAGCTACATCTAGAGACCAGGGATATAGCTCCGTGGTGCAGCTTTGGCGGCAAGCCTCAGGTCACCACCTCCCACCAAAGAAAGCTAAATCTGGGCAGAAGGATGAGAGGCAAATCCCTTCAGTGAGTCCTCCAGGCCGTTACAGAAGACTGAGATGGGCAGGAGGAGCGTTTGCCAGGGGCTGCAGCTACCCAGGAAGAAGCATTTGGGCCTGAGCATCGGCCCGGAGCAGCGGAGCTTACGCTGACCACATAGCATATTGCCAATAACAAAGGAGGATCCAGAAGGGTGGCAGAACAGTTGACCAGCAGGAAAGCTGGTCTCTCTTCTTTGCCCAGACCTTCTTGGAGAAAGAGTAAAGATGGGAGAATGTGTAGAAGAAGGGCCAGGAATGCTGAGTGTTCAGGGAGACCCTGGCCCAGGCAGCTCTGAGTTTCTTTGGCTGGCTGTGCTGCAGCCAGGACTGTGGAGCCCTGACTGCGACTCTATAATCAGAACTAGGTGGCAGTTGAGGTCGAAGCCAGGACTGCTCTTTGGGGGTGGCTTGGACTGTGAGAATGAGGGCAGCATGGGGTTCAGGCCTGAGCTTAGGCCCAGGAGAGCCAGACCTTGTAGGGAATTCCTGGTGAGCTGGTCCTAAGCCTGTAGTAAGGGAGCTACCTAACAGAGCAGAGTTGCTTTAGAAGGGTTTGCTTTTTCTTTTCGTCTAACTTACATTGTCTTTTAAAACTGTAGAAAGTAGTAGAGTATTTCTCTGCTCTGAGGGGAATTAGATATTCCATAGTTTACTTTCCTGGTGCTTTGTCTTACCTCTCCCTTGCTATTAATTATGTGATCTTTACAAGCTCCCTCCCCGAGCCCTTATACTACCCTCTGCCCCTCACTTAGGGCCTCATCCATGGAATTGGCCCTAGGGCAGCAGGAACCTGTTGTTTCAGAAGTTGGTGACCTTTGAGGATGTGGCTGTGTACTTCACCGAGACGGAATGGGATGGCCTGTCCCCCGCACAGAGAGCCTTGTACAGGGATGTAATGCTGGAGAATTATGGGAATGTGGCCTCCCTGGGTAAGGCCTCTCTCTCTCTCTGGGATTTATAGGCTACCATTGGGGTTTTCCTGGTACCCTTCTCCCTGACCATGTGTAGATAGGGCGTCTGGTAATTCTTTGCTAAGTAGAAAATCCAGGGTTGTTCCTCATCTCAACAAATATGTTAGGCCAGTATAATAGTGCACTGATATATGCTTCTCATCTACCTTGTGGAAGCTGTGTTTTGGACACAGTCTGAAAAATAGTAGCTTCCTATCCCATGGTAGCATCTTCAGGTGTCCACCTTATTTTATTTTGAGTCTTTTTAAGGATCTCAAGGACTCTGAATATTTTAGAAGCCACTTTGGGCAGACTGTCCCAGCTTGCTCTGTAGGTCTCCTGGGTCTGCAGTCTGCGCCTTCCTAAACCCTCGTTCCCAAGTCCCTTCCAAAGCCCTGGCCTTTCTCACTACTGCCCTCGATCTCTTCCAGAGCTCTTAGTGTCCCTCCCCATTTCTGAGACAATTTGAGAAGAAGCTTAGGAACTCATCTATGGGAGATTATTCATGTCTTTCCTCTTTCCTTCTGCCAAACCAGGGTTTCCACTTCTCAAGCCTGCTATGATCTCACAACTGGAGAGAGGTGGTGAGCTGAAGGGCCCATCTCCACTGGCCACTGGAACTGGAACAGGCTCGCAGGGCCTCTGGCCTGGTAAGGAAGGCACAGAATGCTCAGCAGCATAGTGTATAAACATGCCACAGTTGTTAGTCAGCTATGCAGAGTAAAGTTAATTTTTTTTTTTAAATGCTGGGGATTAAACCCTGGGCCTTACTAATAAATTTTGGTGTTTTCTAGAGGTAGGTCTGTTGTGTCTGTTTTCATACACATTTCTGTATCTAATCCTAACAACAGATTTTTAAAATGCCTTGTTCTGTTTTCAGTCCTCTTAATTTTGGAATCCTGCCTTTCTCAGGACAAAAATTAATGAATTCAGTAATTTTTGGAGTCCTTGCCATTTTCTAAGCATTGATTACTTAATATGGAGGTTATAGAACTAAGCCTTTTCATACAAAAAGGTGGGAGTGGTTAAAAGTATAGTCTTTAGAGTTTCTTCCTATCTCTTGTCTCAACAAGACTACTTTATAGCAGTGTGACTTTGAACCAGGTCAGTTATTTGAGATCTCTAAGTTTTAGTGATCTCATCTCTGAGAGAGGGATAATAATAAAAAGGCATTATTGCTAGTCTTATGAGTTGAGGATTGGGAGGATTAAAATACATATCAAGTACCTAGCAAAGTGTGTGCTCAATTAAATGTTTTTATTTTGAGGGTTGGGGCCAGAGCTATACATAGCAGGCTTAAAGAGGAAGTGCCCCAATTCCATGCTTCTTGAATGTTGATGTTAAAATGAGTCAGTCATTATCAGGGAGAAAGTCCTGTGGAGAGCCAAGTGTACATTTCTAAGTGTTTTCTAAGTAATTTGGCAGTGATGTTTGGATCTCATTCTGGGTTTTTGTTTTCCAGTGCTAGGGCCTTGCATGTGCTAGGCTGGTGCTCTACCACTGAACTACACCCCAACTCCATTGCAGAAGATGGTCTGAAATCTTTAAAGTCTCTGTAGGCCATCATGATTTTAGCAGAGAATAAAAACATGAATCTCATCCATGTATACAGATTAATAGGGTTGAGGAATCAGTCAGGCTGTAGTTAGGCAGAACGGAAGGACAGGGCATGAGGCCCATGACAGCACTGTTGACTTTCTTTTTCAAAGCTTTCTCCTAACCCCCATTGGTGACTTCCATTTACACTCATTCGCTGGAGCCCTGCCAGCCTTACTGCATGAAAAGGTGGAAAATGCAGACTTTCTTTTTCTTCAACAACAACAACCACTGCTACTACTTTTTCTTCTTTCTCTTCCTCTTTTGCTTCCTCTTCCTCCTCCTCCTCTTCTTTCCTCCCCTTTTCCTTCTCTTTTTTCCTCATTGTTCTTTCCTCCTCCTTCCGTCTCTTCACAGATTATTGGGTCCTGTGCCTTTTCTTTCTTAAACATTTTCCACTTTTATTAATAAAGGACTCAGTGCCATGGGGACGAAAGTATAGAAGAGTGTGGTATGGTGTCTAAAATGCTGATCTGGTAGACAAAACCTAGAATGTTATTCACTGCTGTCTTTTAACCATCATGTTATTGGTTATGGCCGTGCCTTAGGCAGAACATGACTGGTTGTCCTTTTTAATCATTTAATTTAAAATTAGTATTAGTGCTCAAAACAATACAGAAGTGTCTAATGGGGGGGGGGGGTCCTGCCAAACTTCATGTGCCAGTTTGCTCAGTTTCTTGTATAATCTTTTGATTAGAAATTTTTTAGGCATATGCAAAGTATGTGTGTATATCTGTTCTTTTTTTGAACAAGTGAAATCTTCTGTTTCTCAGTTTTACTTTTCCATTAAACAGTGTGCCTTAGAAAACTTTTCATGTTGGCATATATAGAGTTGTTTTGCTGTTTTACCAGCTATGTGTTATACATATTACATCCATTGTATGGGTGCATATTGGGTTCTTTGACTTAGTTTGGTGATATTAAAGGACCTTCTGATTGTTACGATCTTTTAGAATACATTTATTTTTTTCTAGCATGTTATATGACATTCTGTATTTTCTATTTTTATAGTAGATACTGACATACAGACAAACAGTAATTTGACAAAGAAAATACATGAAGAAAAGGATGGCACATCATTTGAACTTCCAAGGGACATTTGCCTGAAAACAGACTTTTCAGAAACATATATGCCACAGCAACAACAAGAAGTCAGTTCAGCAGGAAAGGTAAAGAAGGAAAACAGAAACAGCATGGAGGGCGCAGTGAAGGATGAAACAAGCTCTATGGAGGAGTGTTCCTTTAGTCACAGTGCAAGCTTTCTTCAGCATCATAGTATCTCCACTGAACAGCAGCCCTCTGGTTGTTTAAGACTAATGAAAGCTTTCAGCTTTGACACAGAACTTATTAAGCATGAAATAATTAATACTGTGGAAAGACCTATGAAATGTGAAGATTTAGTGGAAACCTTTAGATTTGACTCTCAACATAATCAGCATCTAGAAAACTGTAGTGAGAAGAAGGCTAATCAGTGTGTGGAGTGTGGCAAGGCCTTCAGTGTTATCACAGAATTAATTTGGCACCAAAGACTTCACAATGTGGAGAAACCCTTCAAATGTGTGGAGTGTGGGAAGTGCTTTAGTTACAGTTCCCATTATATCACACATCAGACAATCCACAGTGGAGAGAAACCCTATCAGTGTAAGGTTTGTGGGAAAGCCTTTAGTGTTAATGGGAGTCTTAGTAGGCATCAGAGGATCCATACAGGAGAGAAGCCCTATCAGTGCCAGGAATGTGGAACTGGTTTTAGCTGTAGTTCGGCATATATTACACACCAGAGAGTCCACACTGGAGAGAAACCTTATGAGTGCAGTGACTGTGGAAAAGCTTTCAATGTTAATGCAAAATTAATTCAGCATCAGAGAATCCACACTGGAGAGAAACCTTACGTGTGCGGTGAGTGTGGGAAAGGCTTCAGGTGCAGCTCTCAGCTTAGGCAGCATCAGAGTATCCATACTGGAGAGAAGCCCTATCAGTGTAAAGAGTGTGGAAAAGCTTTCAATAATAATGCAAAACTCATTCAGCATCAAAGAATACACACTGGCGAGAAACCCTATGGATGCAGTGAATGTGGAAAAGCCTTCACTGTCAAAGGGAAGTTAATTCAGCACCAGAGAATCCACACTGGTGAGAAACCATATGGATGTAATGAATGTGGGAAAGCCTTCAGGTGTAACTCTCAGCTTCGACAACATCTGAGGATCCATACTGGGGAAAAGCCTTATAAGTGTGATGAGTGTGGAAAGGCTTTCAGTGTTAATGCAAAACTAATACAGCACCAGAGAATCCACACCGGAGAGAAACCATTTGAATGTAATGAATGTGGGAGATGCTTTACTTCCAAAAGAAACCTACTTGATCATCACCGAATCCATACCGGAGAAAAACCTTATCAGTGCAAGGAATGTGGCAAAGCATTCAGTATCAATGCCAAGTTAACTAGGCATCAGCGAATACATACTGGAGAGAAACCTTTCAAATGTATGGAGTGTGAAAAAGCATTCAGCTGTAGTTCTGACTATATTGTGCACCAGAGAATTCATACTGGAGAGAAACCTTTTCAGTGTAAGGAATGTGGGAAAGCCTTCCATGTTAATGCCCATTTAATTCGGCATCAGAGAAGCCACACGGGGGAGAAACCTTTCCGATGTGTGGAGTGCGGCAAAGGCTTCAGCTTTAGTTCTGACTGTATTATACACCAGACTGTCCACACGTGGAAGAAACCTCATGTGTGTACTGTTTGTGGGAAAGCTTTCAGGTTTACCTTCCAACTTGGTCAGCATCAGAGTGTCCATAATAAAGGCAAGTCTTAGTAGTGAGACGAAGGTGGGAACTCTGAAGGTTAATGCTGAAATGGATTATGCATCATCAGATTCGCCCTGGAGAAATACTCTGGAAGGGAAATGGATATGGCAAAGTCTTCACATGGAAACATTTTTTTTGTTTTATTTAATTTTTAATCAAGAATGTATCACCAGTTAAATATCTAAAAATAATAAATGACTTTATTTTGTACTAACAACCAACTAGAAAATATTGAAGAAAATACCTTCCCAGCAGCATCAAGAACAGTAGATTTGCTAGGAACAAATAATTGTTTTATGAAACCTATATGGTGAAAATTATAATTCTTCACCAAGGGCTGCCAGAGGAAGCTTGAATAAATAGAAGGGAAAAATGTGTTCTTACATAGAAAAGTCCATATGACATAGATATTTGCTGTACCTAATTTATTTCTGTTTAATTTTTAGTATAAGCATGTGTTTTGTAAAGACGAAAAACAAAATTTCACTTGAGTGAAATACAAAATGTTTCAAAGTATCAGATGAATGCTAGAAACAAAATACTGATAAATTGAACATTCAAATTTATCTTTAATGGTTTTGTTTTAAATACTCCCAAATAAAGCTAAAAGGGTAAAACAGAAGTTGGAAATTTTGTAAAATTTATGATATAAAAGTATATGTAATGTACAGAGGTTTTACAGTTAAAAGGAAGATAAATAGGTTAATAAAAATCAGCAAGTGACACTAACAAACAGCTTTTAAAAATGTAAAAATAACTATCAAGGTAAAAGTGGTGTTCATCTCAGTGGTACTCCAAGGAGTAAAAACTAAGATTTTTTTTTCACATATTTGCTGTGTGTTTTATCTGTGCCTATAGACTACTCTCAAAAATGGCAATTACTGTAGATACCCTTTCTGTAACCTATATGTACCTGTTATGTAAATATAAACACCATAGTATGTTAAAGCATTCTTATTTTGTAGTAATGAACTCCTCTACAAACATAATTCTTTTTATTTTTTAATTTTTAAAAATTTTTTTATTTTGAAATGCAAAACAAGGGATAGAAGTTATACAGAATTTATTAAAAATAGGAAATTAATAGTTAATATATTGCATGTTGTTACCTTAGAAGTTATTCAGGTTATAAGATTCAGGCATAAAGTGATCAGACAATGAAAACATAAACTTTTTGATGTACTAACAGAGCTTAGTGGTATAGTTATCTATCTAGTATATATATGCATACATATATATGTATACCTATATACATTTACTCTTTTCCCTTCCTTTCCCCTATCGCAGTTGTTCTTTCATTTTGAGCACTTTATTTTCCTTTGATTATCACAATATCTTTTGTACATTTTGGATCTTCTTACTTTGAGTTTTTTTATACATGGAACAATACAGTATTTATAAATGTGAGTTTGATTTATTTCACTTATGAGTGTAGTCTCAAGTTGCCTCCATTTACCTATAAAAGCCTTAAGTTTATCCTTTATAGTTGCATAATATTCAATTATATAAAAATACCACATCTTTTTTTATCCATTCCACGGTTGATGGGCATTTGGGTTATTTCCAATATTTAGCTGTTACAAATTATGCTGCTGTAAATATTGGTGCACAAATATCGCTGTATTGAAGACCTGAAAGAAGCTATTTACCTTGGATTCCTACTCAAGTGCTTGTCAAGGTCTCTGGCTTTTGGAAGTCTCAAGATACCCTTCCAATGAGCATCTGCTCCTTTAAAGCAATAAATAAGTGAAGTTGCTTTGAATGACAGTAAGTGGTGATGGTGGAGGATTGAAGAATGCATGCCCTGTGGAAAGAGGGCAGCCTCTGCAACAGCTGCAAGTTGTAGTGGGGCCTAGAGTAGGATTAAGTTTTCAAAAAGTCAGAAATTGAGCTTACAGAGTCTGAAAAATGGGCCAGGAATATAGCTTAGTGGCACAAGCTCCTGCCTGGCAAGCTTGAGTTTGATCTCAGGTACCAAAAAACAGCAACAACAAAATCTGTCTTTCTCCCCTCCCCCAATTGAGGTTAAGATTGATTGCTCCAGAAGCCTTAAACAGTTAAGCAGAAGTCCATTTCTAGGTAATAATTTTCTGGAATCTTATAAAAGGTTCTATGTGAACTCTTGATAGAGATAAACATATAAAGGAAAATGGATCAGCTGTTAATGGGCATAAAGGAAAACAGCACTTCCCAGTGCTCAGTGTGTGTTTCTGCAACTTGAAATTCTTTTGTGGACACTGTGTCTTAGAATTGAAATTATTCCTAACAACCAAGAGTAAATGTAAACCCTACAGTTTAAGGGTTCAGTGCCCCTTTCCCCTATGGTAACAGTCACAGTAGTAGATCTGCAGGTTACTCACACTTCTGTCTGTCTTGGCTACAAATTGAGAGTTTTGACTCAGGTTCAATAATTTCCTATAAGAGACAAGACTTACAGAAATTACCAGTTATTATGGACATTGTAAAGGTTCAGATAAGCAGATGAGTTAGGGCAAGGTCCAGAGGGCATCCCAAATGCCCCTAAGGAATTGAGGTGTACTGCCCTGTCTACCTGTGCATGAGTCATACCCCCTAACCTCTGTAAACCTAATTGGTTTTGGTCTTTACAGAGATTGCATTATGTACCGTGGTGGGTTAAATCATTGGCTACCAATAAATAATTAAATCTGTCCTTCCTAAAGGTCAGGATGAGGCTGAATTTTCTAATTGTCTAAGCATGTGGTTGGTTCTGGAGCCACCCCTCAACCTGGTGCTGTGTAGAGGCACACCAACAGTTACCTCATTAGCAAGCTCAGGTATAAAAGGGTCCTGTGAATAACAAAAGGTAATATGTTCAAACCAACTCACAAACTTCCAAGCATTTTAGAAGCTTTTTACACCAGAGGCTTTTACTTTAATTCTTTTTATGTATGTGTGTATGTATTTGGGAGTGTCGCTGGGGGTTGAAACTGGTCAAACTTGTGATCTTCCTGCCTCAGTCTGGGATTACAGATACGTATCATATATATATATAATTTTTTTTTTTTTTTTGAGCAGGCTCTCTGTATAGTTCAGGCTGGCCTTGAGTTCACTGTGTAGCTCAGGCTGGCCTTGAACTTGTGAGGATCCTCCTGCCTTAACTTCCCAAGTGCTGGGGTTACAAATGTACAGCATCACACCCAGCCTCCAAATATATTTCTTATTGTTACTGGCTATTATGAATCCTCATTGTAATGGAAGTTAAAACTGCAGCAACAGTATAAATTTACAGAAAAACTAAAAATAATAAAAATAGAAGGGAACTGCTCTGACAAAGATCAGGCTTGTCCCTAACAAAGGCAAGCAAAAGGAGATAATAAAAAGACTTCATAGAAACTGATGGGAACACCAGTCTGAAGAGGCGAATCAGACTGTCATGTTCACAAAATTCAGTTTTATAGGGTCCAGTGGTGGGGTGGAGCCTGGTCACTAGCTCAGTCCTGGTTCATAGCTCTAGAGGAACATGATTCCAGAGTGACTTAGTTCCCATGAGATGAATGTTTCTGGGAGAGTCTCAGGCACATAAGGCTTTTCTAAAACCCAGAGTAATCCTGAATTTAGGGCAATGGCGATTTCTGTGTGTAGCAAAAATTCCCTGGTGTACTCAGTCTTGATATGAGGGTAGGTAAGTTTAGGGTTAGTATGTCCTGTGTTGCCAAAGTTTAGATAGACTTCCTAAATGGTTAGCACGGCTATAAGCAGAGGTGAGTATAACTCAGAGCTTTACGTAGTGAAAGTCAAGCTTTGTTCTTCTGTTATCTATTGGACTTGTATTGGCCCAAGAGAAGAATCACCATTTTGGGCAAAATCTACTTTTAAATTCCTGACTTTCTCATAAGGAAATACAGATCATGCTTTTAACAAGTAACAGATTGAGGGCAAAGGGGTTTGTCACTATGATGCATTAATATGGTCTTTGATTCATCAATATGGCTTGGCCAGAAATCCATTTACTTGATCGCGTGGGTTCAATTAGTCTTCTGGCCTTGAGCTGAATGCACTAGAGGCAGGGATTTCTGAAGGTGATTGGATCCTGTGGTGCTGTCCTCATTGTGGATTCATCCACCAGTGAGTTAAGTGCCTGATATTGGGAAGTGGCATCTGGTCAGAAGAGGGAGGGCACTGGGGACATGACCAAAAGGGTATAACTTTTCCCAGTCCTCACTTCTCTCTCTTCCTGGCTGCCATGGTGTCAGCAGTTTTTCCTATACTATGCCCCTTTCTTTTGCTCTTTTCTGCCTTGGAGCCATGGTTACCATAAACCAAACCTGTAACCATAAGCCAAAGCAAATCTCTGAATTTGGGGTGGTGGACATTGTATCTCAGTGACAAGAAAGAGACTAAGACAGATTTTGGTACCAAAGAATGGGATTTTGCTGTGACTATCTGACCATGTGGTTTGGGAATTGGTTCATGGGAGGAGTTTGAAAATGTTTAGAGAGAGATGTCAGAGAAGTCCTAGAATGTTGTAAGCTGAGCTTGATGGGAAATTCTGGTCAGTTCAGAACGCTGGATGCTCACAGAAATGCAGACAGCAGCAAAGCCAGGCTTTGGAAGTTTCATTAGGGAACAAGAACTGCGTTGGCAGCTGGCCTTGAGACCATGTATGTTATGATCTGGCAGAAAATTTGCTTACATTTTGCTTGTATTCTGAGACTTTGTAGAAGATAGACTCAGGGCTGTAGACAAGTTAATCTGATGGAGGAAATTTTAAGGCAGCCCAGTGTTCATGATATGGCATATGAACTGTTGGCACCTTTTAGTCTAGCCTACACTGAAAATCATGGGGAAATGCCAAAAGTTTTCAGTTTTGTTTGAAAGGCTTGCCATGTTGGAGAAGAGAGCTTGGTTGCTAAAAGATTAGCATTCAAAAGAAGCCAAGTACTTTTCATGAGGACACAAGAAACATGCCTTGAAGGTATCAGCAAGAGCTGGTGCTTCATAGGCCTAAAAGTGCAAAAGTGAAAGTTCTATAGTAATTATGTGTTTAACTTGTTGAGGAGCCACTAAACATAGCAACTGCAACGTTTTATATTTCCATCAGCAATGAGGATTCTGGTTTCTTTACAGCCTCACCAACACTTGTTATTTCCCATTAAATAATGTAGCCATCCTAGTGTGCATGAGGTGTACCTCACTGTAATTTTGATTTCCATTTTCCTAAAGGTGAATTATGTTGAGAATCTTTGCATGTGCTTGTTGCCCACTTAGGTATTTTCTTTGGAAAAATATGCATCTAAGTTCTTTTGTCATTTTTTTTTTTCAGTATAGATGATTGAACCTGGGGCCTTTGCACTGAGCTACATCCTTATCCCTTTTTATTTTTTATTTTGACACAAGGCCTTGCTAAGTTGCCCAGGCTGGGCTCAAACTTTCAGTCTTCTTGCCTCTGCCTCCTATCCCATGCCAGTTTTTAAGTTGGATTGTTTTTCATTTTTTTTGTTGAATTGTAAGAGTTCTGTATGTATTGTGGATATTGGACTTATCTGATACATGATTTCCAGATATTTTCTTTTGCTTGTAGGATGTCTGTTCACCTTTTAAATTCTATTCTTTGAAGTACAAAGAATTTTATGGAGTCCAATTTTTAAATTTTGATGAAGTCTAATTTGTTTTTTATTTTATGCTTTTGTTGTCATAGCTAAAAAAAAAAACCATTGCCAAATTCAAGGTTTTAGTGATATATCTTTGTGATTTCTTCTAAGTTATTTCTTCTAAATTCTTTTGGTTTACCTCCTACATTTTGAAAAGGTTTTGGCCCAGACAGGACACTGTAGCCAGGAAAGCCTCAACCGGAAGCAGGAGGCCCCTATCTCCCCTGCCCTTAGGAATTTACCTGTGATGCAATCTTCCCGCCGCTGGAAATTTACCTATGGCACCAAACCTAGGACCAATGGGCTACCTGTGCATCCCTTATGCCCCCCTTGGGTTCCACCCCAAACTGAGGCTACTTATGTGCCTCACTCTGCGTGTTCCACGGAGAGATCACTGGACTCCAGCAGTGAGGGGTGCCGGTCATCTCTCTCCGTGTTCTCAGAATAAAGGCCTCTTTTTGTTTTATACTTCTCATCTTTTGGAAATACTTATCATCTTTTGGAAATAATTCTATCATTTGGTGCCATGACTCGATCGGCAGGTGATTGACTCCTGGGACACACCCAGTTGAGTCCCCAGCCGATTCACAAACCAGATAACATCCTGGATTAATTCCGAGCTTTTTCCTCTCCCTAGACGTCCTTGTTGCCAGCCGCCTACACTCACCATCGGCCAGATTGATTTCAGGTGAGCACTCCCTGGGGAACTCTTGCCACTGGGCAGCCCCAGTCAACTGTTCTCCCTGACGACTTGTTCTCTGGACCACGGCTTATTTGTTGCCTGAATCAATCATGGGAAACATATTTTCTAACTCCCCAAAGACGCCTTTACAATGCCTAATTTCCAATTTACATACTTTAAAAATTAAAAGTACCATAAAAACTAAACAATTAACTTTTTACTGCCGGGAGGTCTGGCCAACCTACCCACTTAGTGGCAATCATTAGTCCAAGGAAGGAACACTTGACCCCTGCATTCTCAGGAATTTGATTTCTGTCAGGCCATTGACAAGTTATTAGAACTCCCTATCTTCGGGCCTTTCTTATTCTGAGAACACGCCCGTCTCATTAAGTCTTGTGCTCCCACTGAGATACTTTTAGCTAACTCTACCGAGCTGCAAACTTTTCTGTCCTGCCCTCAGGATTCGCTTGACGATGTTCCTCTGGTGTTTTCCCAGCCGCCAGCTCCCTACCCCCAAAATGGTTCCTTGCCATTATCTTCTGCTGTGCGATTGACTTCCCCCCATCTCCCGGGACCCATAACTCTCCCAGCAACTCTAATCACTCTGTTAGCGCTTCCTCAAAGTCTCCGACTTCTTATTCTCCTGAGAATTCTCTATCCCCTACAGCATTCTCACCACCCGCCCACCATAGTAGGTCTCGGTCACTATGTCCTTCCAGCAGGCCACGTGATTGTTCCAGCTTGCCCCGGGAACAGTCGCCATGTTACAACCCTCTGCCATGTGGCCGGGCGCCGCCATGTTCACAGGGGTCTCACTGTCAACGGGCGCCCCCTTGTGGCTTCTCTTGTGAACTGCAACAGCCGCCCTGTTGCAGTGCACATGACGCTTCATTGTGCTGCCGACAGCAATCCTCTTGCTGCAAGGCACACAGTGAGATGCCATCTGCCTGTGTTTCCCAGGGTGACCAGCAGCAGCTCTGTAGCCGCTCTACAGATGATTGCTCACACGTGTCTACTGGATGGATGGCTGCTCAGTGGCCCTCTACTCCTCATTCTTCTCCTCAAGCTCTGCTACCACTTCGGGAGCAAGCTGCCCCGAGGGACTTGTTAACATCCATGTGCCTTTTTCCTTTTCTGATCTATCTCAGATTACTCATAAATTAGGTAGCTTCTCTGTTGACCCACAGAATTATATCAGGCAATTTGAATTTATTACTAATTGTTATGGTTTACATTTTAAGGATGTTTATGTGGTTCTAAATACCACTCTCAGCTCACAAGAGCGAAATCAGCTGTGGCAAGCAGCTCGAGAAAAAGCTGATCACAGACATAAGGTAAACACTGCTGATAATGACCCTGGACCTATAGCTGTGCCAGAGCAGGACA